ATCACAACCAGACCGGAAAAGAAGAGTTGTAGTTTGGTGGTAGGAGAGGTGGCCATGTTGTAGAGCCACGAGGAAGGGGCTCTGAGCCCCTTGGGGCCTCTGGCCCCCTCCCAGCCCCTGGCTGGGGGCTGCAGGGACCTGGAACAGCATAAAGCTGGGCTAGGTGCCTGTAGTATGCCGGGAGATGTTTTCTCCATGGGCACAGAGCAGCAGCCGACGCTGACCAGAGAAACAGTGGCAGAGAGCCAGAGATAAGACCTGAACTGAAGGAGCAGAGAAGCAACATGCAGCACCAGAGAAAAGACTCCTGGAAGGAGAGTCGAGGAAAGGAGAGCCAGCAGCTGAGAGCTACAGAGTTCTTGGGGGTAAGACTGATACCAGATCCCCAAAACTCCTTTGAGACCTCCTGGAAGGAGGAAGATGATGGACTCTTACTTGAAAGAGCCTTGAAGTGCGACATGCACTGTAGAAAGGAGCTAGAGAGCTCCGAGAGGAATGCAGGGGGAGTTGACCTTGGCTTTCCCCCCCCTTGCACTGCTGCCACGGTGGCAGCCTGAGAGACAGGGCACAGAGGCCCTGCAAGGAGGAGCTGAGTCTCCTGCAAGAGATACCAGACCGTCACGAAGACCCCCCTGTGTCTTCGTGATATGACGTGGTGAAACGACCTTGTCTGGGGTTACGAAGTCCACGGAAGACCCCTCGGTTGTGAGGCGATGGGGCCAAGAGAGAGGCTTGGATACCTCCCTTGTGGATGCTGGCAGAAATCCAGCTATCAGCTGCTGCATGCATGAGAAGAAGAAACCTGCTACCTCAGAAGATGCTGCTTAAGGACTGGAAGGGATCTGTCCTTCTTTCCCTCCTGGACTTTTATTTGGAGGGGAGAAGAGATCTGATCCATTGTAAATACTATATGTCATGGTAGAGATAGTTTGTGATCATGTGTATAATGTGATATGGTATTTATTTGTACAGTCATTGTAATATATTCCCTTTCCCCACTTTGAGTCTGGTGTGTGTTTTGTCTGGAAAAACCCATCTCACATTAGATTGAGATGTGGGAGGGGGAATGGAGCTAGGGAATTGGATGTTGGGGCTATCTCAAACCATGACAGTCAGTCTAGTGTAAATATGCATGATCACCTCAAGAAAAGGCTCAGTATCCTGAGAATCAATTAGTTTAAGCCATAGCTTCTCTTAGAGAGTTGATGGATTTCATGCAAAGAAAGGGTTTATACTTTCATAAAACAATCTTAGGTAAGCCTTGGCTTACGTCAAGCCACATTTTTAAAGTGAAACTACATTCCCCATAATAGGTCTGGAGAGCAAAGGGAAAAACACAGGAGATAGCTGAAAGCAAGCATAGGTTTCAAACGCAGCAAAGATGGCAACTCTCTACACTGGTACTGACTGCTTAGAAACAGGTGGACAAAACCAAGTGTCTGCAGCACTCTAGTATACATTAACGCAGCTGCTTGAGCTCTAGCAAAAGACTTTCCTCATTCTCATTAATCCAGAAAAGGCAGAATGCCTAGCTGCTAGTGTTGGCCTCTCGTGACTGAATTTTGTTGAAAGATAATCACAATGTTGTGATTTAGTAGCACAAATCTTAGAGAGGATTTCCCTTTATCTTTGGTAAGTATATAGGGGAGAAGGATGGTGTATGAAGCAGCTCTTTTTGCAGAAAAATATGCTTTTTAAAAGCTTAAAAGCTTAGTGAGTGATGACATGTCACTGGATGATTTTGTTTTTCATCTGTATCAGACAGGGAAGTGTTAGGATCTAAAATTCCTATTCTAATATACTCCCTGAAGTTTAAACAGTTATCAGGACAGTGGCATTAATCAGTTGCTTCCCAATGCATTACATAAGACAACGCAAGGTTGACAATTACAAACCAATCAGCATGTTTTTCTAAACCTGAATATTTTGTCTGCTTGGTAGGAGGAGTTATAGCATAAAAAATAACAGTAAGGAAAAAAATGAAAGAAATTCTCGTGCATGGTATAAACTTCTAGTATTCTTTTTATCACTAAAAGCACAGGCAAACTATTCTTAAAGTTGGAGTTTTTTCTTCATAATTTGTTTTTTTTTCATTTATGAGCAATGAAGACCAAATTAAACCAAAGTTATTCTCTTGCAGCCCAACATAAGGCTTCTGAGATGCTTTGTATCTAATCTTTTGTAATAAATATTGCTACCCAAAGCAACTTCATATCGATTTCTCTTAAAATAAGTGTAAAAATTAAGAGCTCTGCCTTATAATTTAAACTACTTCACAGCATTTTTCACATAAATCAGGCACAATATAATATTATCTGCATAAAAAGACTTTATTATTGGATAACTGTAGAATAAATAATGCTGAGCTAACCACACATGCTGAATCTGTTATCTTCATATATGGCTTTATTTTCCAAGGAAGTACCTGCAACACCATTCTTTTATAGATAAGACTAACATCAATCTCCACAGGGAACCTAGCATGATCTATTCTTTAATAGAAATGTTTTTTAGATATTCGGGAGATGCTGCATAAGCATTGCAAGGCCTAGAATCCACATCCCCCAAATTCTGCAATGTTTCATAACTTTGACAGTACAATTAGAGACGTGTGGATAATCAAGCCAGTCTTTATCTTACCAGTCAGAATAGCACAAGTTATAGTGGGAGTCTGGAATTCAGCATTTTTCCATATGCATAAGAAACCTTCAGTTCCTGCACCTTTTGTTGGCACAAACTCACTGTTCTCAGTATCAAACTTGCAGGTTAAAGCTATTGTTGGGGGTCTTAAGAAAAAATTTGCAATACCCTTTGTTTACTGTACAACAAAGGTGAAGTTTTAGACAGATTCTTACTGTTTTTGATGTAAATAAAAGGTACCAAGAACAGCAAAATGTTTTGGAAATGCCATATGATCTGCCAGGGTGTTTCCAGGACTCTCTGAATTATTTGCAGTTTTAGTGTCCTGCAAACTGGGAGTCCCTAGAGCCTGGTTCAGGTCTTCTGGTTTTCCAGGGAACAAAATGCGAGGCTGCTGCTCTCTTAGAGCCAGAGCGTCAGACTAAGATCTGTCATCTGTATGACTCAGGAGCAGCCTGCTTGGTGTATTTATTCAGAGGCAAGGAGTCCTGCATCCTGTGGGCTCCCAACTAATTTCCACATGACAGCCTGACACTGAAGGATACTGCTGCAGAACACACTGCAGTCCAGCTGCCCAGAGATGCCACCTCTTTCCTCCCGCAGTCACCTGCAGTCCCTGACAGACCCAGAGGAACCAGCCATTTGCAAGCCTCTGTCCTGAGGCTGGAGATAATCTCCAGACACCGTTTGCTTCCCGGTAGTTCCTAGTGCAGAGTTTTGCCTACTCTGTATTTCCTCCTGCCCATACTGCTTGTAGTGTACAAGGGCAGGTTGGATGCTTCTTGCTCCTCAGAGTGTCTTTCCAATGCTGCACAGGCAATGCCAGAGGAAAGGGAAATGACAGAGAAGATGAAAAGCACAGAACTATTATGTCCTAATGTAAGTCAAAAACATTATGCTAATTTAAGTCATAAACATATATTAAATAATTAAACATATATTAAAACATTGTTCCATCTATTGGAACATAGAATTTTTGTAGCTATGCTTACACTCGGTTTCTTTCTTTTTCCATTTGTTTCTATATCAGGTGATATCTTATGTGAAATTTTTACATTGTTCACATATCTGAACACCCAGATCTCACATTACTGCACTGTGAAAGAAACCATTGCTGGCAAGTGATGATTCTCACTGAGCTGTGAAGGATACAGACCATATTCACCTAGTTCTCTGCAAACTTTCAGTTGGATTTCAGTGAGCTGACACCTATCTCCAAAGGCTTCTACTTCCCTTTTTCTTCTTTTATTTTTTCTTTTTCTGACAGTAATTTGAGGCAAGTCAGGACATCTCTATTTTTAAGAGCCTAGAATCTGTGACTTCCAGTCCCTGAGGGGGAAACATTTTTTATTATTCCACATAGTCACCTGTGACTTCTAAAAAAGATAATAAATATAATTAGAAAAATGTGACATAACTTTCTCTGAATCTCCAGTGTGTATCTTTTTTAGCCATCTATTCTCTCTCCTCCAGATCCTGATCCTACATGTGCTAAACAGTACACACAGAACTCATCTGCAGTCCTCAAATTAAGGATATTGAATACCTCCTCCTAAAGGAGAATCTTCTACATCATAGTTTTCCAGCATTTAAATTGTACCTTCTGCAGACAAGATTAACTGGAAAGTGCACCTTCAACATCATTTGTTCTTTCAGTATTCCCAACAGTTAGAGAAATACTGTTATTCTTCTTTGGGCACAGTGGAGGAACTGAAAAACAAAGTTAAATGACTTGCTCTGTGCCATACAGGGACTCTGTGACAAACCAGGATGTGATACTGTAAAACAGTACTACAGAGGAATACACTTTTCTCTGAAGCTTAACTCTCAGTTTAAACTGACACATCCTACAAACAGGCACTATGGTACAATACTGATGTTCATTAAATGATAGACTGAAAGTCAGTCTCAAAGTACCAGAGCAGCACATTCTCCTTGAGCCTTCTTTGTTAATAAATTGTGAATCATGTATATTCCATAAAAAAAAAAAAAAAAAAAAAAAGAAAAAGCCTGGAGGGGAAGAGACTGGGAGGAGACCTCATCACAGTCTACAAATTCCTCATGAAGGGAAGAGGAGGAGCAGGCACTGATCTCTTCTCTGTGGTGACCAGTGACAGAACCCAAGGGAAGGCCTGAAGTTGTGTCAGGGGAGGTTTATGTTGGATATTAGAAAAAGATTCTTCATCCAGAGAGTCACTGAGCACTGGAACACGCTCCACAAGGAAGTGGTCACAGCATCAAGCCTGACAGAGTTCAAGAAGTGTTTGGATAATACTCTCAGGCACATGGTGTGACTCCTGGGGATAGTCCTGTGCAGGGCCAGGAGCTGAACTCAATGATCTTTATGGGTCCCTTCCAAATTGGTATATTCTCTGATCCTGTGATTCTGTAATAACCTGTTGCGGAAAACAAAACTTTTCCTTGTTAGCTCAGGCAGTGCCATTACACAAATGGTATACTGTCCTTCACATTTTATATTGCAAATAAACAAGACTACTTTAATTATCACAATCTGACATGCCATCGCTAGAACAGAAGGTACAGTACTGAAAGGTATAATATATTTGCAATACAGGGAAGGTTTATTTTAGGCATTAAACAAAATAGCATTAACATAGAGTATGAAAAATACTGCCCTATTCTTAATAGAATCTTTCCTGAAGGAACAATTTTAAAAATGGATTTCAGATTTTACCGCTTAAGTCTAAGTATTAAATGTTGGACTAAATTTTGTTTTGGAAAATATGAAGCTTTTGCAACAGAAAAAAAAAAAAAAAGCTTTTTCTATTTATGGTGCCTTGGCTGTGTTTTAATTTCTTATATTTCATAATATGAAGTTAATCCTTGCTAAACCTTAAATAAGCAGTAGGTTAGCAGAGTCAAGGAGCCCTAGAAGTTGAATCTTTTGACAAAGACCACTTTTCATTTTCTGCTTGTTTAGGGCAAAATAACCATCACAATCAATATGACAAGCAAACAGATGGACTGAGTGGCAAAGAAATAGATGGAAAATATTTGAGGGATGTGGATGTTTAAAGAAAGGAGATTACAAAGATGACACCAAAAGCCAAGGAGGGTATGAAAGAAAAGTCATATTCGAGCAAGAATAAACCATTTTTGGACTTCAGTCAGGCAGCACAGAACAACTGTTGTGCCAAACAGAACAAACAATTCTTGTACCTGCAGAAAGAAAAGAAATAACAGCAACACAGCACCATCTTGATGAAAAGAAGTAGATGTGGAGGTCCTTGACAGTATAAATTGAGATACTAGTTAAGGTCACAGCCCAGAAACTGTGGGAACAAAATAGATCCGATGACACCAAACACCTTGTCTGATTTAGCACTGTATACTAACACACTACATATTTTTTCCCACATGCTTCATCAGGAATACTTGCTTGAAAAATTTTTGTGTAAGCTGTGGCAGAGCTGCAGGAGTTGGAAAGAGCATCTCTCCATGCCATGGTGCTCTGGCACCTCAGCCGCAGCCTGGACTGCTCACCCACTGCGGGGTGGCACCAGCACCATGCCCCAAGGGGTTCTACGGTCACATGGTGAGGACCATAAATTTGGGATGTATGGATCCTGCCATGATGTCTAGAGGCAGCCACTATCACTGCAGAATAATACTTGTACTCAAACGGCAGGGATCTTTCTTCTTCCTAAGATTATGTAATACATTCAGTAATTAAATAAAGCACAGAGGGAATTATACCATATGAATGCCCATCTGACAGCTTTCCTGATGCAATGTAAATGGTCCTGAGTGGTTATCAGGGAAATATCTGAACAGACAAACTTTATCAGCACACATGGGACTTGGCCACCTACAAAGAGCTTGCAGAGGACATACCATCATAAACACAGGGTGGAACATCAAAAATAGGACTTCAAGGAAAAAGTACATTTCCCAGGACAGGCATCTGGATATTGTGGAGAATGAAATTTGAAATGAAACTGCGGCAGAAAAATCAAATAAAGCCTAGGTTTTACAGACAGAGAAATACGCCATATATCACAATATATTTTACAGGACAGGCTTCAATAGCTCACAAGAACCAGGTCACAACCTTAATGTTGGCTGACTGAAGCTATTGCATTACTATCAACACAGACCACTTTTGCACCAAACAGGTTTTAATACATTGTAATGTGGGAATTAACTGTTTCTTTCTGATAAGGAGCAAGTCACCTTCTATTATCAGGCATCAAATCATTTTAGTATTTTGCTGACATGTTCTCTTCATCTACAATCTTCCAAAGAAAATAGCTTGTCTGCCTGTGGAGTGGAAACAAAATGTGCCTGAATAAGATTCAGATAAAAATGGACACAGAAATTAGCCCTGGAGAACAGTAGGTTTCCCAAGGCCTTGCTAAGAACTCAGAGACTGTTATATTTGGCTTTAGTTACTGAAGCCCAAGTTTATTTTCAGAAAATCATAGATCCTATTCAGAAATCTTAAAAGATGGCAAAGATATTTAAAGGAAGACCAAATTTTATTTATTTGTGATTACATTCATCAATGGAAGAATAGGTATGGTAAATAGATAGTGAAAGATATATTTGTAGGATTGTGTATTTGGAACTCAAATATCAAGTATGGACCAAACCTTTTATTTTATCAATTGGGCTACGACCATAAAGGTGTGCCTGTACCAGAGATTGAAGGATTTGTGGGTTATTAATTTGGCTTGCACATATATATATATATATATGGTACACACTCAAGTGCACAACTGATAAACAAAGGTTGCTGACATGCAATAGGACAGTAGGGATACTGGGGAGCATCGTTTTAATGTGGACACAATGACTTCCACTACATAGCTCTGTACATTTTTATGGCACATACAAAGTTAGACTGTTGGCAGTCTGTTAATTTTTTCATATCCGTGATGCTTGTTGATAGAGATGATGTTGCAAGTCTGCTATTAACCTATCTATCAGTTACCAAACAACAGTCACAGGTGGACCTCTCCACTATTATCTCTCTCTTTTTAATTACTCAGTGCTATGTCCTACTAATGGTGGATAACACTTAGCAAAAAGGACAGGAAAGTGTGCATTTAGTAGTTGTGATTGACAGAAACCACAGCTAAATTCTTTGCTGTGTAAGTAAGAAGCTGAAGTTGAAGGTCTAGAAAATTATCTCACATAGAAAACGCCTACAGTCTACTCATTTGTAGATGAGGATGGCAACATGTTTTTCATGCTGTATGATAAAGGCAGAAAAGCAGTGTCTCATCCTCCCTTTCTTGGTACATTTTCTTGACTGAAATTTTCTTCTACTGCAATGTGTCTTTGAAGACAGGTCCTCATCTAATACAACAAAACCTCTGGAAGGCTAGTACCACGCTGGCTCAAGTCAGATACCCACATTCTTCTGTTCCAGTTTCTGACAGCGAATTGCAGCTTGTTTACCCTGAATGCACTTCCAGTGGACTCCCTCCTGAGTCATAGTCACAATAGCAAGACTGAAAGAGAGATGAGCAGCAGAGCTGGAGCCATGGCTTCCAGAGAAGGTTGTCCCATGACAGCTGGTTAGGAACAGCCTGCAAGGATCTGGTGTGATTGTCTACTGCTTGGTGAACAACCCTGAGGATTTCGTAGAAACGGCTCTCAGTTTCTGGAGTCAGCGGGACTTTCTCTTCAGGGTCTCTGGACAGATCAAAGAGCAGTGGGGGATCATGTTGTGTAATGAATCCTCCATGGCAAAAGCAAACATGAGAATCATAGCAACCATTGGAGTCCTCAGGACTGAAGTTTGGAGTGAAGAAGAAGACTTTCCAGACAGATTCACCTGCAATTTACAGACACAAAACAGCTGGTGATAAAATGACAAAATGAAAATCCCCTAGTCTTAGGAAACTCTAATTTACACAACAGAAAATCAGTCTTTTGGGATAAAGACAGTAAAGAAACTCTGTGCAGAAGCTGCAGTATACTGAAAGAGTAAAACCAAATCAAGCAAAAAAAAAAAAGCAAAACATGGCTATTTTCATACTACATATATTCCTGAAATAATTTTGATAATTTCATTCCTTTGGAAGAATTCTGATTAACTAAATCACAGAAAACTTAAAAAAACTGTTTGTTTTTACATAAACAGTGCTAAGAAGATTTGCATAAATATTTACTAAGTCTTCTTCAAGGCTTATTAAAGTGTATCTTTGTCCCTTGACCACACCTACCCACTGCTGGGCCATGTCTGCTTCTCATTCTGCTAATCAAGATAATTTCATTGTTACCTTTTTCTCTCTTCCTCTCTTTCTTGTATTAACACATTGCCCTCTGCCACATGCTTTCATTGCAAACACCTGGAGATAGAGTTTCTCATTTTATTAAATGAGATGACATGAAAAGGCATAATGGATGCCAAATTCCTCTCTTAGGCCTCTAGATGATTTTTTTCAAATATAAATAACTGTTACAGTAGTGCAATTCTTAGGTGACATTCTGTTTTGTAAAATGGGAACCAAAGTTCTTCATATATAGGTTGGTCATTCTTTCTCAGCTTAATTTTCTCTGTACAGAAACTGAATTGTCCACCCTAATGTAACTTCAGTCCATACTTACACTGTTAAAAAATCCTAGTTATTTCTTGGAATAAGAATATGCAAATATCAGTTGGTTAATTCAAGAAGTACTCTCAAACAGGATGTACACTGGAGAATCTGAACATACTTAACAAGCAAGCTGTAAGTAAAAAATGGCTACTCTTTTTCCTCACGTATTACAGAACAGATAGGGAAGGTAGGAACACACAGGCACTTCCATGGAATCACAACATCCCTCCTGCAGTCAAAGAAGTATATAGCTCTCCAAAAATGGATTAAAGAATAATTAATTAGAGTTAAAAAAATCTGTATTTTATTCTTAATAGAACTAGGATACTAAACAGATGAGGTCTATGATATCAGATTACCTCTCCACTTGAGACCACACAAACATTGGAGAAACATAGTCATCAGTAATTTCTCAGAACTTTAATACTGAGGTAAAATTCTCTCTTTGGTATTTTGTTGAACTTTGTTAAGATCACAGAAAGCTTGTTAATGTAGTAACATACTTTCATAGATTTATGTGCACTACAGTGGTCAATATTTATTAAGCAATTCATTAGTTCAACAGAATGGAAAGCACTAGAAAATGTGGGAAGAGCAGAGATAAACTGGTACATGCCATGCTGTAACTACATGACACTCAAATTTTAAAGAATAAAAACAGGTTTAAAGAAAGAAATGTTTCAGCAGACTAAAGAGTCACAGGCTGCAGTTCTATATTATAGCATGAATTTAAAGGACAGTGGGTGACCTTAAGATTCTTTACAGCTTCTTCTATCCCACAGCATTTTTCACATTATAAGAAATTTTACCTTTAGGAACCAATTCAATGACAGTCTGCAGACTTCCAGTTCACTTCGTCTGCACTTAAATCAGGGTCGGACAGGTGATGGCTATTATACACATTAGACTGGGAGAACCCCCTGAAAGCTTCTTGGAAGTCAGCAAAGGGGAAGGAGCTTTAAAGGCTGGGAGTGACTTGCTGGCACAGACAATAGGACATGGTAGGTTTTAAAAGGCTCTGGCTGTGACAGCTGCAATGGCACAGTCTTACTGGGGAAAAGGGAAGGGAAAGGTAAAGTAAGGCAAAGCAAGATAAGACATGGCAAGGCAAGACAGCATTCCTTCATCTACCTCCAGTAACATTTTGACAGCTTGGTCTGACACTTGAATCTTTTGTTGTTTTCTCAGAATTAAAATAAACAAATAAAATCTAACACTGCCGTTTAAATGTCTTTGAACTTATGCACAGAACATTTCCCAGAAATATGCCTCTCATTTACTCAGATTTAGAATTACATTCTGAGAAGGTATGTAATTTTATACTAAGCATTGCTTCAAGCTCCTTAGAAGTGTTTAATTGGCAAGATGGACAGTGAAAAACATAAAAAGCCAAAGGGCTTGATTAATCAGTGCACTGTGTGCCTTTGTAGACCATGCAACACTCGTTACACTTGAGAATTTTGATTCAGGGTACCATAACATCTAGATAGAAGAACAGCAGAAAAAATTTACATAGCTACTAAAATGCCAACTAAAAGAAATTCCAGTAAGTCCATGCACATGAGAACTTTGTGGTCAATTTGTCACTGCATTTGTGCTGAATGACATTGAAAAGAAAATTTTCAGCCACCTTTTCTTGTTGTTGGGCATTGTATCACCAGATCTGTTCAAGGGTTTACAGATAGCAATATAAAGTTGGGAATTCTGAATTAATGCAAGTTGGTACAAGAGACTGAATTATTGCAAGTTGGTACAAATTAAGAAACAGAGAAAAGAAAGAAATAAGGCAATTGTACTATGATTTTTTTTTACCCACAGAATAAAGAATCGTTCAGGTCTGGCTATATAGAGAGTACACGGCATGTTGTAAAATGAAGTGTGGGGTGGGGACAAGGGATGCATGACAACATATCATGTCTGAATGACATTGCTAGTGTTTTGGAGAGCTGATGCTAGTTTATCAGCTTGCAGCTATAGATGTCATGATTATACAGTACAAAACACTGAGCTCTGGGAGAGCACAGTCTGTTACTGAGCAGTGTTTATCTGCTGCACTGCAGCAGTGTTTCTGAGAGGATCTGGAACTTCGTGTGGTGCTGGAGAAACAGCAGTGCACACTTTAAACACTTATTTCCTAAGCATTATAAAAACTAAAGCATATCTGTCAGTGGCTGTGGCTGTGGAGCAGCCAGTGCAATATACTAGGAGACATTAAGAGCTGTCAGATTTCTAATCTGTAAAGCTGATGAACTGTATAAGGCACGATATTAAAAAGAGAGAGCTCTCTCCCAGTCTCTCTCAGCTGATATAAAATCTCATTTTGTCAGAGGGTTAAGTACAAGGATCAAATTAATCTCTCAGTAATTAACGGTACCTATGTTCTGCAAAGCATCTGGATAGTAAACCTGCTTTATATAAAAAGATAACTATATGTCTCTTCCACAGTGAAGTTAGTAGTAAAATTGTCAGGGCTCCGCCACAGCCAAGTGTATCAGGTCCCTTCTGAAACAGCAGGCAGGCTCTAAGCCTGCAGCACCTTCAAGGTCCTGTCCCAATGCTTCACTGATACCTTGAGTCCATTTTTCCTGCTATTGTCCAGTTCTCTGAATTGCACAATAAGTTGACTCTCAGAATACATCTTTTCTTTACATATTAAGAAAAACAAAAACTACAGAAGTTGTACTTCTAAGTAGTCTCAAATTAAAATAGGTTGCCATTAGTTCAAGCAAATCTATTAGGAAGATAATTGTTCAGTGTTCAATTTCCCTAACAGAGTCCCCTTCTGTTTTATTGTCCTTCACCCATCTAATTATCCTCTCAGACAGACAACAGGTAGCAGCCATGAGATTAAACAAAATTCCTTTTCCAATTATTTTCAAGATGAAGTGACAAACTGGATAGGGATATAATTTCTGTTGTAATAGCACTGCTCTTAATCACTGATGGCTAACTCATGTTTTCTGATAAGCAGCTCCTGAAGTGAATAGAAGCTATTGATGAATTATTGCCTGGACCTCATTTTTACTGAATTTAATCTATGGCAGTAGTTTTATAGGTTTGCTGCTACTGTTATCTTCTTTGTTCATATTATTTTGTTTCTTCTTTCTGTAGAAGAACAAGCTAAACAAATCTGTTCTTCACTGCATATTGGGGAGTTAGTCCCTCCTTGAATTCAGACACCTTTGAGGATAGCCATTTGTGTGTAGCACACCAACATAAATTGCCCACAGACTTTTACTGTGTCTTAAGCATCCTGCTTTGTAGCCATTGTCAGCTCCCACGCTCTAATTCACGTTTCTCAACATTTCTACACTGTAGCAGATAAAAGCTTCAATTCACTTGAAAATTACTTTCTTCAGATTACTCTTGCTATTAGATGGAGTCCTTTCTTCCTGCTTCCTTTACCTTTAAAATCATTTAGCATTGTTAGGTTCTCTGATAATCTTATATGTAGTATATATTGCATATATGTATATTGAAGACATATATATTGCATATGTCTTCAATACTTTAAAAATTTAGAAAAGAAAATGTGCATTTTTCAAACAGCTAATAAAAATATCCCATTTGAGTTTAAAAATTCGTAATTTTATTGTTCTTACACTGAAAATTTGTTTTTGTTTTTTGGGGTTTTTTTGATACTTGTTTTAAGTGTCTGGGCTCTTAAGATGTTACATTTTTAAAACAGTCAAAAGACATCACATTATGTCCCATCGTAGGTTGAGAATAACTGAGTGAGATTCAAAGACATAATGCTAGTTTATGAGAATCAGTTATTGCTAAAAGAGGCTTGCATAAAGAACTGTGCAGAATATACAGTATTTCAGGGAAAACCATGAAAAAAACAACAGTAGCAGTGATTTTAAAATCTTAAGGTTAAAACCAACAGTGTTAAGCATCCACTAAAATATAAAGGATTGTGCACTGGTGAATATCTAATAATCATACTGAACAACTGCTGAAGGAAAAATACAGTGAAACCATGCTCAGACTGCTGAAGACAGAAATCTCATGACTGAGCTCATTATCTAGAGTAAGTGCTATGAGAAAATTCCACTGAATTCTGTTCAAAAGTCAAGATTATCTGACGAATTGTAGCAGCTGACATTCCTGAATTCTTCATCATCATCTTCAAAAAGAATGATTGATCATTTATAATATTTTCTTGTAGAAGAAAGTCCCAAAAGGGAAGAATCTGTGGACACTTGCTAAAGATTTGTCTGAAGAACATTTA